ATATATTAAATAATTATATAGAATTTCATTTATTTGAATAATTTTGAAGAAACGAATGTATAATTGAAATAATTTCTAAAACATATCTACATATAACATGATTAATTAGTATTTTGAATAAAGTTGACAAAAAGGATTATTTGTATAAACAATTTTGGTTATATGTAGTTTATTACTTTATTTTAAATAAATATGAAAATTTATTATTTATAATTTTTTAAAAATATTTGGGCCTCACAAAATATGGATTAAATCTTTATGTGCTATAATAATGTCGTCAAGTCCGACACTGTTAATGTTTAATATTGAGGTTATACAAAAATATATTTTATTTATAAAGATACTAATACAAGATAGTAAGTGTAAAATAACTGTGCTTCCAGAACTAATTTTCAAATTTAACGAGTTTTATTAATATGATCAAGAAATAATCTCAGACGCAAAGAGTCATCAGTAAATAGGATATCACACATATCATGAATTTGTTTTTGGCGGCGAATTAGTCACTCTTGTTCGGACCATAACATAAAGCATAATTAATCCATTTTAACATATGATGTACTGGTTTTGTGTACTAAATTATGTTATGTAATTATATATGATTTGTCATTGTATTTAATATAATTTAGTGAAACTTTAGTAAAAAAACATAAACAATATCAATAAAAGTTTTGCATAAACAATATAGGATGATAGAATTTGTGGAAAAAAATATATAGTTTTTCTTCATTTTGTTATTATTACATAAAAGGTTTGCGACAATAACATTTGTTATTGTGTGGAGTCCAAAGAGAAACTATTTCTCCTATTGACTTGCAATGGTCAAAGCAAGCTTGTTGATTGGTAAGGGGTTCTCTGGTAATGCATACACACCTCACATTATATACACATGATGACACCATCTCTTTTCCAAATATCTTTTCACAGTCAGAGTCATTCTTGCACAACTCCTTATATGCCAAGATCTGAGCAACTGCGAGAATTAATATGTTATTAATCAGGGTAGTATATAATACTGAGGATAAATGTGATACTGATGAATGTAACAACGCATGAGATTTAATTTTCTTACATGTTGAGAATAGCAGAATACCGATGAACACCAAAGTTGCTTTATCCATTTTCTTGAATGTGTTTGTATTTTTTAGTTTATTATTTTAAATCGTTTGTGTGACTAAAGTGGAGGATTCGGAAGATATTTATATTGAGAGTGGTAATTTGTTTTCCTTTCGAGTCAGATACTTTTCTTTTCAGTGTTTTACTATTTCATGTTTGCTTTAATTTTATACCTCTTGTGTATTTCTCACAAACTTACAATTTGTTTAGGATGTATAAAAATAGAATTATATCCAAAACATCGAAGAGAAAAAAGGAAAAAAACACTGAAACGGGTTGTAATATTTGATGTGAATGATATTTTGGTAAATAAGAGAAAAAATATGTTGAATATTATGGTCAATTATATTTATTTAAATAATGAATTATAATTTTTTTATTGTTATATATTGAAATTTTTCATAAAACAAAGCTCTAAGCCACTTTGGCACATTACAAAGGATTCAAAACACTATTTTGACCCAAAGGATTTTGATGATTGATGGTTTGGCATCAGGCACAATCTGAATTTATAAATGATGAATATAAGCAATCATAGCGTCGTATGTAGGCATCTTTCAAGGTGCATATGCACGGGGTCTAACTTTTTTTTTTGCATATTTAATGTATATTTAAGCTCTAGTTTAAATTGATTTTTAATAATTTTAGTTAAAATGTATATAAAATAAAGGTTCACTTTAATAATTTAAACTGGCTCCATTAAAAAGTTTGAGCCCTCTACAGTTATATGGGAATGTTTAGAAGATGTTACTGCTGATTTTGTGGAAAATGTGTTAATGGATAGAAATAATACTCATTTTGTGGGAAATTGTATTATTGGATCAAAGTAAGAGATAACTGAGATCTCTTCCAATTTTAAAATATATTAAATAATTATATAGAATTTCATTTATTTGAATAATTTTAAAAAACAAATGTATAATTGAAATAATTTCTAAAACATATCTACATATAACATGATTAATTAGTATTTTGAATAAAGTTGACAAAAAGATTATTTGTATAAAGAATTTTGGTTATATGTAATATATTAATTTATTTAAATAAATATGAAAAATTTATAATTTATAATTTTTTAAAAATATTTGGGCCTCGCAAAATAGGGATTAAATCTCTATGTGCTATAATAATGTCGTCAAGTCCGACAATGTTAATGTTTTATATTGAGGTTATACAAAAATATATTTTATTTATAAAGATACAAATACAAGATAGTAAGTGTAAAATAACTGTGCTTCCAGAATTAGTTTTAAAATTTAACGAGTTTTATTAATATGATCAAGAAATAATCTAAGACGCAAAGAGTCTTCAGTAAATAGGATATCACACATATCATGAATTTGTTTTTGGCGGTGAATTAGTCACTCTTGTTCGGACCATAACATAAAGCATATTTAATCCATTTTAACATATGATGTACTAGTTTTGTGTAGTAAATTATGTTATGTAATTATATATGATTTGACATTGTATTTTAATAGAATTTAACGAAAATTTAATAAAAAAAGCAAAAACAATATCAATAAAATATAGGATGATACAATTTGTGGAAAACAATATATAGTTTTTCTTCATTTTGTTATTATTACATAAGAGGTTTGCGACAATGACATTTGTTATTGTGTGGAGTCCAAAGAGAAACTATTTCTCCTATTGATTTGCAATGGTCAAAGCAAGCTTGTTGATTGGTAAGGGGTTCTCTGGTAATGCATACACACCTCACATTATATACACATGATGACACCATCTCTTTTCCACATATCTTTTCACAGTCAGAGTCATTCTTGCACAACTCCTTATATGCCAAGATCTGAGCAACTGCGAGAATTAATATTTTATTAATCAGGGTAATATATAATACTGAGGATAAATGTGATACTGATGAATGTAACAACGCATGAGATTTAATTTTCTTACATGTTGAGAATAGCAGAATACCGATGAACACCAAAGTTGCTTTCTCCATTTTCTTGAATGTGTTTGTATTGTTTAGTTTATGATTTTGAATCGTTTGTGTGACTAAAGTGGAGGATTCGGAAGATATTTATATTGAGAGTGGTAATTTGTTTTCCTTTCGAGTCAGATTCTTTTCTTTTCAGTGTTTTACTATTGCATGTTTGCTTTAATTTTATACCTCTTGTGTATTTCTCACAAAATTATAATTTTTTTAGGATGTATAAAAATAGAATTATATCCAAAACATCACAATATATTTTGGAAGAGAAAAAAGAAACAAAACACTGAAACGGGTTGTAATATTTGATGTGAAGGATATTTTGGTAAGTAAGAGAGAAAATATGTTGAATATTATGGTCAATTATTTTTATTAAAATAATGAATTGTAATTTTTTATTGTTATATAATGAAATTTTTCATTAAACAAAGCTCTAAGCCACTTTGGCACATTACAAAGGATTCAAAACACTATTTTGACCCAAAGGATTTTGATGATTGATGGTTTTGGCATCAGGCACAAACTGAATTTCTAAATGATGGATATAAGAAATCATGGCGTCGTCTGTGGGCATCTTTCCAAGGTGCACATGCACGGGGTCCAACTTTTTTTTTTACATATTTACTTTATATTTAAGGTCTAGTTTAAATTGATTTTTAATACTTTTAGTTAAAATGTATATAAACTAAAGGTTCACTTTAATAATTTAAACTGGCTCCATTAAAAAGTTTGAGCACTCTACAGTTATATGGGAATGTTTAGAAGATGTTACTGTTGATTTTGTGGAAAATGTGTTAATGGATAGAAATAAAACTCATTTTGTGGGAAATTGTATTAATGGATCAAAGTAAGAGATAACTTAGATCTCCTCCAAGTTTAAAATATATTATATAATTATATAGAATTTCATTTATTTGAATAATTTTAATGAAACGAATGTATAATTGAAATAATTTCTAAAACATATCTACATATAACATGATTAATTAGTATTTTGAATAAAGTTGACAAAAAAAAGATTATTTGTATAAAGAATTTTGGTTATATGTAATTTATTAATTTATTTAAATAAATATGAAAAATTTATAATTTTTAATTTTTAAAAAATATTTGGGCGTCACAAAATAGGGATTAAATCTTTATGTGCTATAATAATGTCGTCAAGTCCGACACTGTTAATGTTTTATACTGAGGTTATACAAAAATATATTTTATTTATAAAGATACTAATACAAGATAGTAAGTGTAAAATAACTGTGCTTCCAGAATTAATTTTCAAATTTAACGAGTTTTATTAATATGATCAAGAAATAATCTAAGACACAAAGAGTCATCAGTAAATAGAATATCACACATATCATGAATTTGTTTTTGGCGGCGAATTAGTCACTCTTGTTCGGACCATAACATAAAGCATATTTAATCCATTTTAACATATGATGTACTAGTTTTTTGTAGTAAATTATATTAGGAAAATTGCACTCCATACACATAGAAGATTGGGAAATTAGGGATATACCCTAGCAACTATTCTACTTTTTTTAATTCCATTAATACCCCTAATCTATTCTCTCTCCTCTCTGTTTTCTCTCACGATTCATCTCCTTTCTCTCCTTCTCCGATGTCTTTCCCCTCCCCTCCTCCTCCTCCCCTCCGCCTCGTCCTCCTCCTCCCTCCTCCTCCCTCCTCCTCCCGTCCTCCTCCTCCCTCCTCCTCGTCCTTCTCCTCCTCCTCCCTCTTTCTCCTCGTTTTTGTCGATTAATTTTGTTGATTGTGCTAAAGGGTTTTAATGTCTTTTTACGTTGTTTGGGTACTATAAATTTTTTGAAAAGGTAGATAGCTAATATTTTTATTATTTTAGGATATTGGGCCAATTGACCCATTATATTATGTAATTATATATGATTTGACATTGTATTTTAATATAATTTAACGAAACTTTAGTAAAAAAGCAAAAACAATATCAATAAAATATAGGATGATACAATTTGTGGAAAAAAACATATAGTTTTTTTTCATTTTGTTATTATTACATAAGAGGTTTGCGACAATAACATTTGTTACTGTGTGGAGTCCAAAGAGAAACTATTTCTCCTATTGACTTGCAATGGTCAAAGCAAGCTTGTTGATTGGTAAGGGGTTCTCTGGTAATGCATACACACCTCACATTATATACACATGATAACACCATCTCTTTTCCACATATCTTTTCACAGTCAGTGTCATTCTTGCACAACTCCTTATATGCCAAGATCTGAGCAACTGCGAGAATTAATATGTTATTAATCAGGGTAGTATATAATACTGAGGATAAATGTGATACTGATGAATGTAACAAAGCATGAGATTTAATTTTCTTACATGTTGAGAATAGCAGAATACCGATGAACACCAAAGTTGCTTTCTCCATTTTCTTGAATGTGTTTGTATTGTTTAGTTTATGATTTTGAATCGTTTGTGTGACTAAAGTGGAGGATTCGAAAGATATTTACACTGAGAGTGGTAATTTGTTTTCCTTTCGAGTCAGATTATTTTCTTTTCACTGTTTTACTATTGCATGTTTGCTTTAATTTTATACCTCTTGTGTATTTCTCACAAACTTATAATTTGTTTAGGATGTATAAAAATATAATTATATCCAAAACATCACAATATATTTTGGAAGAGAAAAAAAAAACACTGAAACGGGTTGTAATAGTTGTTGTAAAGGATATTTTGGTAAATAAGATAGAAAATATGTTGAATATTATGGTCAATTATTTTTATTTAAATAATGAATTATAATTTTTTTATTGTTATATTGTGAAATTTTTCATAAAACAAAGCTCTAAGCCACTTTGGCACATTACAAAAGATTCAAAAACACTATTTTGACCCAAAGGATTTTGATGATTGATGGTTTTGGCATCAGGCACAAACTGAATTTCTAAATGATGGATATAAGAAATCATAGTTTCGTCTCTGGGCATCTTTCCAAGGTGCATATGCACGGGGTCCAACTTTTTTGAATATTTACTGTATATTTAAGGTGTAGTTTAAATTAATTTTTAATACTCTTAGTGAAAATGTAAATAAAATAAAGGTTAACTTTAATAGTTTAAACTGGCTCCATTAAAAAGTTTGAGCACTCTACAGTTATATGGGAATGTTTAGAAGATGTTACTGCTGATTTTGTGGAAAATGTGTTAATGGATAGAAATAATACTCATTTTGTTGGAAATTGTATTAATAGATCAAAGTCAGAGATATCTGAGATCTCCTCCCATTTTAAAATTCATTAAATAATTATTTAGAATTTTATTTATTTGAATAATTTTAAAGAAAAGAATGTATAATTGAAATAATTTCTAAAACATATCTACATATTACATGATTATTTAGTATTTTGAAAAAAAGTTGAAAAAAAAGAGATTATTCGTAGAATTTTTTTGGGTTATATGCATTTTATTACTGTATTTTAGGAAATAAGAAAAAAAAATTTATAATTTTTAAAAAATTTTAGGCCTCACAAAATATGGCTTTTTTTATATGTGCTATAATAATGTCTTCAAGTCCGACACGGTTAATGTATTATATCGAGGTTATACAATAATATATTTTATTTATAAAGATACTAATACAGGATATTAAGTGTAAAATAATTGTACTTCCATAATTAATTTTCAAATTTAACGAATTTTATTAATATGATCAAGAAATCATCTAAGACGGAAAGAGTCATCAGAAAATAGGGTATCACAAATATCATGATTTTGTTTTTGTAGGCGAATTAGTCACTTTTGTTCGGGACATAACATAAATCATATTTAATCTATGTTAACATATGATGTACTAGTTTTGTGCAGTAAATTATGTTATGTAATTATATATGATTTTGACATTGTATTTTTAATATAATTTAATGAAATTTTAGTAAAAAGCAAAAAAACATTTCAGTAAAACATAATATGATTGATTTTTTGAAAAAATATATATTTTCCTTCATTTTATTATTATTACATAAAAGGTTTGCGACAATAACATTTGTTATTATCTGGAGTCCAAAGAGAAACTATTTCTCCTATTGACTTGCAATGGTCAAAACAAGCTTGTTGATTGGTAAAAGGTTCTCTGGTAATGCATACACACTTCACATTGTATACACATAATGACAACATATCTTTTCCACATATATTTTCACAATCTGAGCAACTGCGAGAATTAATATATTATTAATCAGAGTAGTATATAATACTGAGTATAAATGTTATACTGATGAATGTAACAACGCATGAGATTTAATTTTCTTACAACTTAAGAACAGGAGAATACCGATGACCACCAAAGTTGTTTTCTTCATTTTCTTGAAATGTGTTCATATTGGTTATTTTACGATTGTGAATCGTTTGTGTGACTAAAGTGGAAGATTTGGAAGATATTTATATTAATAATGGTAATTTGTTTTCCATTCGAGTCATATTATTTTCTTTACAATGTTTTACTATTGCATGTTTGCTTTAATTTTATACTTCTTGTGTTCTTCCCACAAACTTATAAATTCTTTTGGGTGTATAAAAATAGAATTATATCATAAAACATCATAATATATTTTGGAAGAGAAAAAAAACAGTGAAACGGGTTGTAGTAGTTGTTGTGAGGGGTATTTTGGTAAATAAGATAGAAATATGTTGAATATTATGGTCAGTTATTTTTATTTAAATAATGAATTATAAATTTTTTTATTATATAGTGAAATTTTCTATAAAACAAAGCTCTAAGCCATTGTGGCACATTACAAAGGATTCAAAACACTATTTTGATAAGGGCGTGACTGGTTACAACGCAGCGATTACGGTTGCGGTTGCGGGTGCGGGTGTTTGCGGATGCGGGATATTACAGTTTTAAGCGTTAGTAAGAGATTTATACGACTGGTTCAACGGCTAAAAAATGTTGCGTTTGCGGGATGCTTATGACTGGTTTATCATCAAATACAGCAGCGGTTAAGTAATAAATTAAGAATATTTATATTTTAT